GACTTTGGGCACCTAGCCTTGGAAAGGATTCGGAGAATGGATTTTGATGTTTTTGCATGCTTTGGTACAGTCTATAGGGGAGAAGGAATAGGCACCGCGAAAACAGCACTCCAACTCACAGTTACAGCAAACTAGATATACTTCAGCCCTCACAGGAAAGAGTGCTCCAAATGAGAACTCTAAGGTAGTGTAGTAGGGGAGAAAGAGTGGAGATGGTGTGGACTCAGGTACCTAGAAGAAAATGACAGATTGATTTTGGGCACTTCATCAAAAGTTGGGAACGATCACTGCCTAAGTGCATCAGTAGGGATGCAGACCGCGAATCTGGTGCGCTCCTTGATATGCCAACCACAAGGTCACGTGGTTCACAAGTCAAAACTAAGTCAAAAGTTATAAAAATATATTCGCGGCTCCGCGCATACAATCGTCTGACGGCGACGGCCCCGCGCACTACAATTCACGCGAGCTGGCCTTCTAGCTATAGTAGGATTGCAGAAAGAGGGCGGTCCCCGCGGTCATTTGCGACAAATACGCACCCTTGTACATACGCGGACATGCGTTCCTGCAGGGAATCCGCGCGGGACTCTTCCAAATCCGGCGACCTAATGTCCTCCACCCTGTGATCGTCTGGCGGCAACGGTGCACTACAATCCACGCGCACTACAATCCACGCGAGCGGGCCTTCTAACTGTAGTAAGACTATAGAAACAGTCTAGCTCTTACGCGTCAATGGAAGATGAAAGCGCCCACAAAAAGCAGAAAGAAGTCCAGATTGCCGATTTTTGGTTAAGAGGCTAGTTTACGCACGTTTCATTGCGGCAGGTTAGCCTGTACTTCACGCAATTTTAGTCGCGACGCGATATAAGTGTCCATAGATCGTCCGTAAGCGCATTCTAAACAAATAAGACCAGTCTCTGGGCGCCATCTAAACCTACTTATCCGGCTGCGCGGGCGGTCGCGCGCGCGCCATACTGCGTGCCGGGACCAAGGGCTCGCTTGCTACTAGCATTGACGTTCGACATTTGTTGCGATGTATGAGTGGTTTTCACTTCGTGGTCAGCGTGAGCAGCTTTACTGCTATGGGAAAGGAATTCCTTTTTTAGCTAGAGTAATTGAGAAGAGCTTAATGCAGCTTACAATGAAAACCATCATACTATACTGCTTTCTTTTTTAAGTCAATATCTTGCTTGAAATAAGATCAGCACAAAAGTTATTTTGCTGATCGCGACAATTTTGACCACATGCATTGCGAATTGACCCTCTTCGCGATATAACTTTTTATAACCTTTTTTATATCCCGAGTTTCATCGGAAAAATGTTTTCTTGCATGATGAATATCATAGAGTGGGAGTCAGTATCTATCCCCAAACTCAGGGAAAGCATCTATTCTCAAAATGTCCATGGGCAGTATGAGGATAGATGCTTCCCTTTACATAGCTTTTAGGCCTTTTAGGGTCAAGATTGAGCATCCGTAAAGATACCTGTTATGCATCTTAAAGGCAGCGGCTCGGCAGAATTTCAACTTCGGAGTTTTGGCAGATTTGGGGCTATTCCGGCCCCCTGAATCACGACATGAACTCCCCTTAGCGCGAAAATGGGGAAAACCCCGTCTGTTGAAACCCCCTTGGGACGGGCGCGGACGACCGTTTTTCTCTGCCGTCAGAGGCGCAGAGTAAGGAAGTAGAGAGCGCTAGAACAATTGAGTGACGAGTGACGGCGCGTTTTTTAGCGGAAAACATACTCGTCCGAACAAGTGGCCGTATTCACCAACGAAACCCGTGGGTTCCGGAACCCACTGTGTTAGTGCTTTTGATGAATATCGATTCTACTCCACAGAAGAATCGATATTCATCAAAAGCACTAACCCAGTGCGTTGCGGAACTCACGGGTTTCGTTGATGCAAAGGTGCTAGGGGAGCGAAAGGAGGAAGGGGAGCGGCGGTTGGGCCGCCCCTGGCTCGCAGAGTTCGCATTTCCAGCGCGTAGTTGCTGTTTTGGTTCATTTGGAGGGCCCCTATCCATCTATGTCAAAATCTGAGGTAGGTTCATTTTGCCGAGACGCTGCCTTTAAGCAAATGATATCGTGCTACCCCTCGTTTTGAGTGATTGATTATTTCAGCTCAGAAAAGCAAATCATCACATGTTGCTTTTGAATCTCCAAGTCTTTGGTCATTTTTTTCATAACGTAACTCTGTTAACACATTCAGACACTGTCATTCTATCGATTTCTGCCGGTTCGGACATACGACCCACAGGTATCAACTTTCTAGTGTCCTTTTTTCGATTGCCAATGGCTCGTATGGTCCGAAAGGTGGTCTTTCAATTAGGCTTCCCCTAGATTTCTCCAAACATGTGCGGACATCCCATGTACTTTCATCGTAAATCTGCAGTGCTTAAAAGTACGAACCCAAAGGTGGGTCGTATGTCCGAAATGGCAGTACTCATACGACCCACCGGTGGGTCCTATTGTCGTGAATGTGTTGAACAAGAAAAATGCGAAGTCAGGTTTGCTAGAGACCAGAAAACGCTATTGCTATTGCTCTACACATTGATAGATTCATTTGATAGTCAGTGAAATTTGTATGACCATGCTACTAGATTTGGGTGGCGAGCTCATCTCGGATATATTTGTAACAACTTGACAGCATTTGAGATTATGATCGGCTCCCAGATTCGTGTGGAGGTGTATTGCAGACTTTGCCTGATAACACATGTAAACTTGCTAAAACTCCACGTCATAGCATTGCTTTTCGTAATCTCTCGCTAGCAAAAACCGCCACGCGGTGAGTTGGCAAGACTCCACCCCCACACGAATCTGGGAGCCGATGATACTTTCTGCAATGATGTGCCTTGCAAGAAAGTTCTTTTACAGCAAGACTTTAGTTCTTTTTAGTAGAAAAAGATCGTGTTGTATGCTGTATTGAGCAGAAGCAGTCACATTATCGCATTATTTGCATGAAGCTTTCAAGTGTTTTCTGGTCTCTAGCAGATCTGTAAGCTCTAAAATCATGCATCCTATATTAAACATGTCTCGGATAAGATCGAAGAATACATACATGTACATATTGAAAAGAATCTTTAACACTTTCATCACCGAAAGGCAATCAAGTCCCATACTCGCTAACTCGAAGGTGGCTGCAGCACTTATGACTGACAAGCACCGAAAGCGCGCAAGCAGTTAACGGTAACGCAGCAAACCGAAATTCATTGAGCACACTGATTATCGTAATATACGAAAGCAAAAATCACTCAATATCGCAAGCTCTCCAAACACAGCAGTGACAGCAAACGAGCCCCTGGTCGCGGCACGTGGTGATGGCGCTCACGTGACCGCCCGCGCAGCCGGTCAAATGGATTTAGATGCGCCCAGTCTCTGCCAGTCTGGGTTTGAAGATATCTAGCAAGTTGCCAGATAGCGTGGCGACTGTAATTATAGTCTGCCCCAAACGGGATCAGTCCGAACCATCGACTGAAATTGCGCGCTCACAGCGCTAGGGGTTTGCGCTGCACACACGCGCTGTCGCAGAGAGCGAAGAGGTTGAGGAGAGAGCAGACTAGCTAGCCGCAGAAGTGGCGCGAAACCCTCCCGACGCGGACTCCCGCCATGCCAATTTTGGCCTGGTTAGGATTGGGGCAAACTGTACGTGAAATATGCCCGGGACCGGGTAGGGGAACGAAAGCCGCCAGTTCGGAGGCCTCCGCGGGCACTGGTCCTGGAACGACATGCAAGAATACTGCGGAACTCTGACATTAGTTTCGTACGGGGCGGGAATTTTACGTACGACCGGAACCCTCAGTGGCCTTCGCCCGCTAAATGCGTTCGGGTGATACGCGAATTTCGCACCGCTGGTACGCTGTCACTTCGGCGCTGCTGGTATGGAACTTCTGTCTTCGCGCCGCAGGTACGGCATTTTAATGCCCAGTCCGCTGGTACAGAAGTTTAGTTTTCACGAAGCTGGACGGCATTCTGTGTGGAGGACTATATGTCGCCGAATTTGGAGGAGCCCCGCGCGGATTCCCTGCAGGAACGCATGTCCGCGCATGTACGGGTGCGTATTTGTCGCAAATGACCGCGGGGACCACCCTTTTTCGGCGACATATAGTCCTCTACCCCGGAATTCTGAATGTGTGTGGCCAAAAATTAATTTGAAACCATTTATTTTTCTGTTTGGAGAATGAAGAAGCATTTGAGACAGTTAACACGTTTCGGACCGCGAAATCGCGCGCGGCGAAAAAGAGTGTACTTTCAGCCTTTAGCCTACAAAGGGACCTTATTTCGCAGCCTGTGGGCCACATTTGTAATAAGCATGTCAGATAAGCTCCATATCCAAAGTTCTGAGTGAATTCGAAGTGTTTGAATTTTGTCGCTTGAGAGGGACTTTTGTGCTTTCTTGAAAGATAGGAACAAGAACTCAGATTTTAATAGTATTCAAAAGTATCTATGTTGTACACGGCACACATCAGTATTGAAACTACGGTTTTTCTCTTTGATATCGAAGCAAAGGAAAGTTGCGACGTCGCACGCGTCGTTCGCGTCGCCGCAGTTCGTTGCAACTGTTGTTCGATTTGTGCTTATATCTCCTAAACAAATATCGGCGGCACAACTCTACAGAGTCATTTGAAAAGTAGGAGGTTAGACCTTTAACTTGACAACTCTAGACTAAAAGGAAACCTCCTGCAAACGCCAAAAAGATCCCCCAAAGCAGCGTGCTGCGCCATGTGCAGCACCGGTCCGAAACGTGTTAAATCGATTTAAATCGATCAAGTACAAAGATTAGTATATTCTGCGTTCGAAACAATCCGATACAACGAGTGGAGATACGAAAAAAAAATGGCAAAAATGAAACACTGAGCACAATAGACGACAATAAACTTATGGGAAGGCTTAGGGACTTTCATCTTCAAACAGGATCCGACGACGGACCGGCTACACTCGTTGGGGTCGCGGCTTGGCTAATTTCGAGGCTGCTTGCGGCTGTGCTTAATTGCTTGCGAGGGTGCTTAGGCTGCTTGCAATGGTGCTTGAGCTTCTTGAGACGCTTGTTGCGAGGCTTCGTCTCCCAGGTCTGCTACAAACCTTTTCACTTGCCGCTAAAAAAGTATACTTCAACAGATCAAACCTTCAAATCGAATGCATGAAAACTTACATTGCGGGATCCATTTCGATTGAGCTGTGTCGTACTCACAACCGCGTACATCATGTCCAAATAGGAATATGGTGAGAAGTTTGCTTTTTTAAAAATATGGTTTAAGACTCACAGTGCGAGTTGCAAAGATTTGAATAATATGGGTCTCCAGTCGTGCCTTTCTCGGGTTAGAACGTCGAGGTGTTCCATCCGCTCCTGTCCAGTTTTTTAAGTAAAATCTACAAAAATAAACTCATCCCATTCTAGAGGTGTGCTGATTAGTACTTACTCAGACCTCCAAACTGGTGCTGTGCCGGGCCTCAATTCGTCGTGTCCAAATCCGACCATATCTTCCGCAAAATCAATATACTCACTAATAAAGTAACACTTGAAAAGACCTGATCAGTTACCCTTTAGCCTTCCTTCAACATCCTCCAGTAGCGTTTTGAGTCCCACGTCTCTCCCGATGCTTTTGTTTACACGGACCGCGTACTCTTTGACAGTCTGAGGAGGACTTCTTGCCTGAAAAAAAGAAATATTTGCAAAATAAAACTCTTATTCGACTAAAAAACAACTGGTCCTCAAAGACTAGTTAGCCGCGATAGGCGACTCAAACTGGCGGCTTTCGTTCCCCTACCCCCAGGACCTATCGCTTGCGACAAGTACAGAGCTCGGAATCAAATGACTACGGTTGTCCTGCGTTGGTGTGTAAAGCTAGGCTCGGGCAACTGTCAAGTCGATTATGACACATGCCTGATGTTTCACTTCGCTATTAGATATCGAAGTAAAAGTGGACGAACTATGACGTTGCCTATAATAAAACCAGTGCTTCACTTCACCTTCGCAGAGGCTCGCACTGGCCATCAAAAAACGATGGTAAACTTACGATGTGAAGGCTTTCTTTTAGATTATTGCCAGGTTGACTGCGGTGAAAGAGTCCTAATTATAAATGAACCATACTCGCTATCAGAACCTCACATGCTCCAAAGAATTGTAAATCATTCCTCACTGCATTTTCGTAACAGACAGACTTACAGACCGACAAATAAGCGGCTTATCATAAGTCATGATACTCATTGTGACTTTAGGCTGTCTATTCTTACTGAAATGGAAAAGCGCATTTACCACGGCAATTGCGGCCATGAAATGAGACCTACCGTTTATAAAAAAAACCTGAACTATAGGTTTGTTTATAAGCTTCAACTCGGACCTCTTGTGAAGCCAGCTCTTTTTAGGTGCGCTTGTGGTTTCGCAGTCTCAGCAAACAGAATTGATGCGGCAGCAATGGCGTATGGAAATCTGAATGTATGTTTTGCGATTTATCATGAGTACTGTCTACCATATCGTCATGATTGTGAAGCCAGCAGCGGCTCATGGTTACAGATTTGAAAGTTTTGCAGCTTTAGAGTTCACTCGCCCAGCAATTATGTAAACATCACACCAAGTCCGCGTATGCAGATGCTCGGGTCCTTAATCAACTAATTGTGTTCCACATGTCCAAACTCAAGATGAGGTCATTGGGACATGCTTGTTTTCGCCATTTCCACGCTTTCCAAGGTGGTTTCGGGATCAGTGTGCTGGTTGACCCCAAGTGCGATAATCACTTGGGGTCAACCAGCACACTGATCCCGAAACCACCTTGGAATGCGTGGAAATGGCGAAAACAAGCATGTCCCAATCCTTGAACAGACACTGTACCCAAGATTTTGAAGAGGCCAAAATGGGAAGGATTCCGCCTCGAACCTCTCAGACACTCGCACCGGTCGTCGGCCGCACAGATTCGGCTTATGGGGATGGTGTCAATTTCACTCACTCGAAAAAGGGTATGATCACCAGCCGAGAAGAGCGCGGTCAGCAGCAGGTATTGTGGTGACTTTACGCGTAAGGGTGGTGCCTTTCACACGAAAATAGGTAACACACAAAATGTAAGAATTAGATTCAATTAGAGAGCTCAACCTGCACTTGGTGGTGCAGTGGTAGATATGACCGCCTGCCACGCGGGCGGCTGCCGGGATTCGATTTCCGGCCGATGCACCATATTGGTGGTTGTTAGGCTTTAGTATAGCCTTAGGCGGAGGGTGGTGCCTGTAGTGGAGTGTGGTGGCTACTGGTGTGTTATTGGAACACGTAAACTATCAGAGCTTTATTGAGCAGAGGACATGCACCCATTCGTGCAGTGGTAGAATGCTGTAGATTACAGGCGTGGCGAAGTAATGTTACATGCGTCTGGGCGATAAGATAATCATATCACAGAAGGTTCTGCCTATGGCATGACCTTTACGGCACTTTGGCTGGAAGTTACGGCACATTGATAAAGTGCTGACAAACTCGACACAGCTCTGACATTCGTCCCAGCGCGTTCCGCACTTAGCGTACCAGCTGCGTTTCGCAAGTAGCTCTACCAGCGGAGTACCGTTGTGCCAACGAGCGGCGTCCCATCACAAGCTGCGTAATTACCCGACGCTGTAAGCGCAAGCAGTACCGGCATGCGATACGACGCAGTTGCTTGGCTGCCTCAACTCTTATGTAGCTGATTAACAACTCTTGGTAGTCGACAAGGATTAAGATTAAGTTGTTGTTGTTGTTATCGAGTTGACCCAATAGTATCTCAGTTAAGTGTTTTGAAGGTCACTGATCAATTGATTTCGATTCCATAAAGTCTATCGGTTGAAATTGTAGGATCTTCACTTTCATTTTGGCCTGCTAGAAATTATCGTAGCAAATTCTATATCATTTTGCAACTAGTCCAAATAACCAAAGTAGGGTGAGAGCGCCAATGGTGTATCCTCTTGGCGTACCAGCGGCGTACCATCCCCCTGCCAGCGGAGTCTAACAGCGTACGAGCGGCGTGCAACTGTCTACCAGTGGCGTTTGCATGTTCCGCTCAGGTAGCATCAAACGCTCCTGGTACGCAACGAAAGTGAGAGAGGTATCAATACGAAAGTCGCGCAACTTGGTCATGGAAGGCGGCTATCTTTCTCCGTATTTCCGCTTTTCCTCAGCCCTATGCTAAGTAATACAGATCCGCATGAGCATAGTACAAGTAAAGTCTGTTTTACGGGAGTAAGCGGGAACATCTCCAGCGCATCTGCATCGCTGAAGGCTTTGCGAACACAAAGCGCTGGCATTTTGCTAAGCAAAGACTGAGGGAATGAAGAGACGCAGACATGCTTAGCACTATATGTGGAGCTGCGGAACGGCGCGAACGGTTGCGATGCGGACACCTGTCAAATCAATCCCGGCCTGAACTAGGTTGGAACTTACCGTAACACGTCAACGATCAAAGGCAGCGAATTGGGTGTGCAAGCGGTGGTAACTATGGGAAGGGTGGAGGATTATATGTTGCCGAAAAAGGGCGGTCCCCGCGGCATTTGCGACAAATACGCATCCTTGTACATGCGCGGACATGCGTTCCTGCAGGGAATCCGCGCGGGACTGTTCCAAATTCGGCGACATATAGTCCTCCACCCCTATGGGAACCTCGTTAGGGAACAAAGGATACATGTGGAGCTACAAAGTTAGACTTTTTCTGGCGTAGAAGACTATAAGTCGCCGAAAGGGGGTGGCCCCCGCGGTCATTTGCAACAAATACGCGCCCGTGCATATGCACGGAGGTGCGTTCTTGCAAGAAGTCCGCGCGGGACCCTCCCACATTCGGCGACATAGTATAGTCCTCTACCCCTTTTTGGTACACGAGAAGACGACGATGTTTTGCAAATAGGAACGCCAACTAGACGCAAAGACTCGCATTTCATCAGGTTGACCAGTAAATTTCAACACTCCTTTATTCTCCATGGGTGAACCAACAGCGTACAATCTGCAGATGAGAGCTATTGCAAATGACCCCGTTGTTACCAAGACTGACCTGTTCACGGAGTTGCTATATACCAGAAACCTAAGCAAACATAAGACGGCAAGAGAATGTTTCCTCAAAGAGCTCACCGGGAATTAGTGCAGTCAAATGGTTGATGAGAACACTCTCACCTCTTAAAGTTACAACTGATATAAGCCTAGGATTACCAGATATGCTAGAATATGAGATAGATTTATACGAGCCTCGCGAACCACTCACTCCTTCGCGAGGCCAATCCTCCGAACGTCCTTGAGTTTTCACATACCACATGCAATCAAACACATAATGTTATATACTCGTTGACGCTTGCGTTTGATGCGGATAGCACCAGAAGCAGCCGTCCACGGTTCTCACAAAATAGCCCAAAACGAGATTTCTGAGCATTCACGCTTCCTAGTGTCATATTTGGAACCAGCGCCATGAAAAGTTCCGGATGAGACGAGAAAATGGAAGTCAAGAATTTCCCCGGACTCCCCTCCGAGCTTCCAAATTTATGGGTCGACAGACGACCGGAAGGCAGTCTTCGCGCGCCGACCGGTGCGAGTGTCTGAGGTAGTAGGTGCCAGACTTGTCCGGTTCGACTATTCGTCCGGTTCACTCATTCGCCATTGGTCAAACCAATGAACTGTCCAATAGCGAATAAGGTGAGCGGGATGAACCGCTTGAGATTAGTCTGGCACGTGCCTGAGCTTTGTGCAACGATGGTGGTGTGATTGCGGACGATAACGGCATGCAGCGGGAATGTTGTGGATGTGAATAATTTCCATGGTTGCCGTCGTTTTAACCTGCTCTTTTTGAATTTGTCGGTAATTTAACATATGGTGCTGTTTATCTAAACTCCTACCGGTAGATTCCTAACCAGCGATGAGAGAAATTTTTTTTTTTGATTTTTCCTTCTACTAGAGCATATCCTGACACTTTTGAAGGCTAGAGACCTTATTTCCCGCTTACAATGTTTGATCTGGTTTTACTTATGTTCGCCGCACATTTATATGGAGCTTTCCGCTCTGATGTAGATCAGTAGATATGACTTTGTGCGGTTATTTACAGAATTTTATTTTGCTTGCTTATTATCTCTATCACTGTTGTATGATGGAACACAAATTTATTGCTGTGAAGAACCTTTCATTTTGGAGACGTCCTTATAAATGCAAGCAGCTTTATACATACTGCTTCCTTCTGTTAATCACTGCAGTCGTCAATTTTCTTATAATCATTCGTTTCAAGTTCGAGGCTTTTACTGCAATGAAAGTGCAAACTAAGAGATCGGCATCTTCTCGCGATAACCTTTAAGAAGAAAGTTGAAGGTTGACTCAAATAAAATATGTGCTATATTTTGTATTCGATCTTGCCAAATACCGCATCTCATTCTTATGAATTTGTTAGTCGTGGATGAATTTATATTAGCAAAGCATTTCTTTTCAGGGACGTTCCATGCCGATAAAAACTAGGCTCAGGCCAAAAAGAGTCAGCTTGAGACGCTCATTCCGAACGCGTCCTTCTGATCAGACGGCCATTATCTGCGTTGATCATCATCCGGAAATAAAGGTGAACCCTTTTTCCCTCTTTCTACAAGTTATATTCCATTCTTAGTTTGTTGCTTGCTTACGTTAACTGATTTTACTGGACTTTGAGTATTTAGCTAACGGGTAATTTTGATTTTCAAGCTCTTTTACGAAGACGAATGGGATGACGATTTTGCGTTGCGGTCCCCAAAACCGAGAAGGGAACGACGACCTAAGCATAACCCGGTTCTTGAGGAGGTCGGAGGAGCTTTGCCTCAAGATTACCATGATTCACCTATGTTATAAGCTCATTCCAGGATATTATAGAAGAGGAAGAAGAGAATGTCAATGACAATGATGAAAACAACGAGAATGTCGATCCACAAGTGGATAGTGATCTTCCGGCCATGCAAGAGCTAAATGAGAAGGCATGTTCTTATTCTTGAAACGGAGAAAGCAATGTTTTTTTTGCGGATGCTCATTCCTTGAAATGATATGAGCTCATAAGACAGTGTTTTCGAAACTTTCGAGGTTAGGTGATTTTCGAACTGCGCTTGCTGTAATGCTTTTTCTGTGGCCGTATTCATCAACGAACCCTGAGGGTTAAGCTTACCCTCCAGGGTTAGTTTAACCCTCAGGGTTCATAGGCCGTATTCATCAACCATAGGCAAGGGTTTACCACGGAACGCGATCTACCCGTATCGATCAACGAACCTGTGGCCGTATTCATCAACCCTGAGGGTTAAACTAACCCTGGAGGGTTAAGGCGTCAGTTACGCGTGCGCTGTGCAAACTCGTCTCACAGAATGCCTAAGTACGGGCTAAATTCACTTTATACTTCTATTCTTTCACTGTTATAGTAGTATAGTCAACGAATAAGCTTTTAACACTAGTTTTCATAATACATCTCTAGCATACTTGTGCAGCATCCAATCTTACAGCGTGAGTTTATTTTCATGTGTGCAGTTGTGCAGTATAAGTTCTACTTTTGCAGTTTTTTATACCGAGCTTGTACTACTCTTTTAGGGGACAATGCGTGTTATTATAGAGGGGTTCTTCTGCTTTGGCACTTGTCAGAGTGGAATGCCATTTTTCCTCGTCGCATTCATTTGTCAGCAAAGCTAGAATTCTTTTCCTCGCGAAGTCAGTGTTTCATGTACTTCGAATATGAACATAAAACGAAGTCGAAACTAAATACTACAACAACAACCAATACTAAATACTACAATACGCGTTGATCGTTTTCCATAAACTATTAGATGCGAGTAAATGTTTGTATGAAGTGTTAGGGTAGAGTTAACCTTGATCTGAGCTAGGGTTAAATTAACCCTGATGAATCACGTAAGTTTAACCCTCCAGGGTTAGTTTAACCCTCACGGTTCGTTGATGAATACGGGTTAGTCGCTTTCGGGGTAAAATTAACCCTCAAGGTTAGATTTAACCCTCAGGGTTAAGCTTACACTGTGTTTCATGAATACGGGTTAAACGCTTTCCAGGGTTAAACTAACCCTCCAGGGTTAGTTTAACCCTCGGGGTTCGTTGATGAATACGGCCACTGAACTTCTAAAAGCAGATCAGCGATGGAGAATGTAATCTATGCTTCAACTTTTGTACAAAAACTGGCATCTATTGCTGGTTCCAGTTCCATATTATCAAGAGTACACAAGTCCGGTTTGAAATTTACTTGGCATAGTCACATTTATCGTACCGCATTTCACGAGTTTAGAAAAATTACTTGTTTGACTCTCGTCTCTTTTTTCAATGGTTTGTGCTCAATCCTCACTTGAAGAAGATGAAAGAGTTCATTCATATTGTTTCTCACCCCGTCTTTTTTGACAGTTGGCTTTGCCGGAATCTGAATTTAATTAGAAAAATTTGTGTGTAACAAGCCTTGTACAACAACCTAATATTATCGATTGAATTTCGCGTGCAACCAAGTATGCTATTTAGAGAAGTGAACATGTGCATGGACATTGGGAAAATACTTCTTGATTTAGATTGCTATAGCCGAAGAGTGGTCATTGTACATAGAGAGCGAAGAGGGTGAAAGGATGAAAGCAGTGGGGAACAAATTGGTGCCTTACGAGACGTACACGGGTCACAAAGCCACAGGTAGATTCTTCGGTACTTTTCATCAAAAAATTCTTGCGTCGTTTTGACCTTGCACTTGTTTCAGCGCACTTATTTCCAAAACGAGAAAAGACACCTCCACCATCTGAAGAAGAGGTTAAGGCTCTGGATCGCGCGAGGTGCGATTCTTATTGGGCTCACGTAGATAGATTCCTCGGTCCAGTAAAGAAGAAAAGTGAGTGATTTAAGATTTTTTTTTATTTGAACGCAACACCTTGGCTTGATTAATGAGGTTTTAGTCTTTGAGAAAGAATTTGTCCAGAATCATGGCGCTGTTATAGACAGAAATCTGCTCTGTAATGGTCTTTATGATACAGAGCTTAATACTTCAAAATTTACAATCCGTTTGACAAAACAATGAGACATAGTGCATTCTGTCAAGTTATATGAGCAGCTCAGGCTTTTGAATTTGTACCTTCCATTTTCTCGCATTCATTATGTCAAAAAGATCGTTTTCTTCGTTTCCTTACTCACTCATTTGCGTAAAACGATATTCCGCAACCGCGTTGATTTCCTCCTTTTTGCATGCATGACTACAACACAAATTCATGCGGAAAGATGAGCTATACTTGAACATAGTGTTTCTTGTAATAGGTGAAAAAAGGAGGATGAAACACTTATCATTTGTTCTCTTTAATATAGCTTGACTATCTCGTACGATGTCTAAGCGCACAATATCTTGCACAATCAGCTTTTAATCATTTTGACCTAGACTATTTTTCGTTTTAATCTAATGCCGTACTTATTCAGCTCCCGTTCGACCTACAATCATCATGGCTAGTGGCACAAGCTTTCGTGCAGAAAGTGCAGCGATTGAGAGAGTTAGAAAGAACACACGGTCCTTAGGTTGTGCCTTAATATTTATGCTGTGGCAAATAGAAACACATTCATTTTCATGCGACTTACATTGTTTCAGCAATCGAGCCAATTGAAGAAACCCCCGAAATGCTAGACACTGAGTCGGCTTCTGTTGGAGGTGCAAGCTATCAACAAAGATGTAGCGAAGCATCAACGGCTGTCCATTCCGTCACTCCAAAGGTGGTGATGTAAATCTTTATTTACCTTTGATCAGCGGGGATGCTTGCTTTTTTCAGAGCCGTTTGCAATCAACGGATGGTAGAAAACAGAAACCCTCCTTGTTGACTGCTAGTCTTTTGGATCTAGGTTGGTTCCCATCTATTAGTCTGATTGCTTGCACCTCGATCGCAGCTATCATGGTCGTGGGCATACCTCACGCGATTCCAGTCGCGACGCGATTTGTCAATACTCCAGTTGTTCGTAACTTATGGTAAGGGGTTCTGGGTACGAAAGATGGGGTATTTTATCAAAATACGGTTATACAAGCTGTGGAATGTGCCAGTATTGAATTCGGCGAACCTTACTTGCCAGATCGCGTGGCGACTGAAATCGCGTGAGGTATGCCCACGGCTTATAGCGGCATCTATCAACGTTGCACTCCTTTTCGTGGGGTGTTGATATTTAAAAATGCCATTACAAAAAAATTACACGATTTTAGCTTTAGTTTAAGTTTTTTACATTTTCAAATTCAGATGATAACACTCAGGCGGAGTCCCGTACATGTCAAGAGTTATCGTTTACGTCTATTTGCGATCTGGGAGAATTACAATCTCCAGTGCTTTTTAGTACACCGGTGCAGGTGGGAGATACTTCCTACTTGTTGTATCACAATGTAATATGAAATATAAAAAATATAAAAATACAAATAGAAATGGTAGTGTATAGAAGTGTCTTAATATGTCATTAATGTGTATTTTGAAAATCAATTTCGTCAAAAAATCGTAACCTAAAAAACCTGCGTTTCTAGAGTGCTCCTCAAGCGCAATCTACGCCTTTTGACCAAGCTAAAGAAATCTTCACCGAAACCCCGGTACAGGTGAATGGTTTTCTTACATCAAAAGTGCTCAACACTCCGAGTTGAAAATAGCCTCAAGCTCCACCTTTGGTAATGAATCCTGATCACCATGCAAACACTATTATTCAGCGCACTGATTTCTCATCGCCGAGATGGGCAAATGTTACTGGAAGAAGCAAGGAACGAACGCTATCAAGGTTATCAAGGAGTAAGTTTCTCATTACCAAACAAATTATCTGAGACCGAGAGACTAGCATATACTGATTTCTTTCTTAAATACCTTCTTTATCTTCTACCGTGCTCTTCTTTTTTTTCGATTTCTATATGTAATATGCTAGCACTGACGTTTTCTTTATTGCTAATTGCGCACTGGCACGAACAGCTATGCGCTCTCATGCAGACAGCTCTTTTAGACCGTTCTGATTAGGATCAAAAGCTGATGACGATTTTGCACAAATTCTTTGAACGGATCTGTACTATTTATAGAATCTCATGCGGACGATGAGCCAATATCACCACCTCCGCAGGTAGACAGTTTTGATGAATTCGGGAGCTGCATTATACCTGATAATCCAGCATCCACAGGTGTTGTGAAGGAAACTGAAGGTATGCGTCCATAGCCATTTTGGTACATCTGTTTTCAAGTCATCGTTCAGCTATCAAATGTGCCAGTAACGAAGATGAGCAACTGTCATATATGTTGGAGACCTCTTTGGATCTATCACTTCATAATCGATCAGGTAAACTATTTTGTATGTTTCTTGTTTCTGTTCCATCACGGTTTCTTAGAACATCAAATGTCGTATACTTCGATGGCAACGTTGGGTGAGGAACTACCTTTACGAACCACTGTAAGTGTCACATTTTTTTGTACATTTTTTTAGTTCTTTTATTGGAGACGAATTATTATTGTTTTAGGTGGTTAAATTGATTATCCAGCGAGTAACGTACTGCTCCATTTCAGCAAAATATCGGAAACATGACGAGGAATGCTACGCAGATGTCGAACACTACGAGAAACATAACGCATCTGACGAATGCTTCTTTCGTAAGTGTTGTTCTGAACAATATCATCTATGTCTTTTTCTCCATTCAATATGTTTTGCTTGCAGGTGGATATACCGTTTTACTTGAGTGGATGCGAAAATGCCATGACAGCAAGCCCACTGCAAACTCTTCTCTACGTTATTGGACAACCTGAGGTCATAGAGTGGAATGATTTGCCGAAAGAGTGAGTTGCTAACAAGTAAATCTGTGCGGTGATTTGGTAAGGGAAATAATCTATTTGCAGCGTTTTTGAGAATCCTAGAAAGCTTGGAGAAGGAGTGTATGGGGAGGTCTTTGCCACTACGTATAACGGCCGACCGACAGCAATGAAGGTGAGTGCATCCGCACATTTATTCGAACAGTGTCGTAGTGGCTCATGTATGTTTAGGTAGTTCCCTTCCATGGCGATAAAGTTATCTACGCGGGGAAAGTCAATGGGGAGTGTCTAATGGATGCTGCCTCCATATTGCCAGAGGTGATTTGACCGAGTTGTAAATACGTGTTTTTCTTTGAAAATCAGCTTAGTATGCAAAATGTCAGTTCTACGCAAATTCTGGCCAATAGTTTAGTGCTGACTAAGTTTAGCGACTTGACGGCGTAGCAGCCGTAGGTATTTTAAATGTTTGCAGTTTGAGAATTCATAATATGCCTCGTTATACGCTACTTGGATGCTTGAATCTGTCATTTTTTTTCAAAATTATTTTATGACAAACCACATAGATTGTATTTCGTTCTTTTTATGAAAAGTTTCTAGCTTTTAGATTCTAACAAATAGAGAATTGTCGGCTCTGAATGAACCAATATCCGACTCCAGCACTCCAAATTTTATACAGTTGCTGAAAGTCAATGTCGTTAGAGGTAAGCTATATCGCGACTGTGGTGTTTCAAAGCTTCCTAATATTCGAGAAATTCAGTGAGATTTCAGGTCAGTACCCCGAAGCCTTTCTTCGTGCGTGGGATCAGTATGATGAAGAGAGGGAGTCAGAAAACGATCGCCCCACTGATTATGCAAGTAATGAACAGCTCTTCGTTACAATCGGAATGGCCATGGGAGGCATTGATTTGGAGCATTATAAAGTACTTTCTCTTTCGTTGTGACTTACGAGCTACCAATCATAACTGCGTTTGATTTTAGATGAAAAATGAGGATCAGGTACTGTCAACTTTACTGCAAGTAGCCATATCATTGCTCGTAGCCGAGGACAGACTCGAGTTCGAGCATCGTGACCTGCACATCGGAAATGTGCTGGTGATTGAAGAGGACGCGGACTTGGAGTGTGTAAATGGTATTGAAATGAAAAGTTTACATACGAACTTCCCAGTTACAGGTACAAGGTAAGGGGCGGAACTATGATCCTGCGATCGTATGGTGTCAAAGTGAATATCATCGATTTTACTTTGAGCCGGATGCGTAAAGGTGCGTTCTGATGGTTATTTCTTGACTCCTTCGTCAATTGAGGATAGTCAGCTGGCGATTTTCAGAAGGAACGACACTTTATCGTGATCTTGAAGCTGATGAAGAATTGTTTACGGGAAGTGGAGATTATCAGTTCGACATCTACAGGATGATGAGGCATGAGAATCAGTAAGTTTTTTTATTAAGCAAGGCTGAGTATATCTACATAGAGTTTGTTCTCTACTCTGTTATTCTTACTATATATAGAGGTGACTGGTTGTCGTTCAACCCAAAGACGAATTGCTTCTGGTTGCATTACCTTTCAAAATATCTCATTAGCAAGCAAAAATGCAGAAAAGCTATACCAAAAAAGAGGAAACAGGTATGCTGATTATTTTATGCTTTTGCTACATACACAGTAGGATTATAATCATCTCAATAGTACTGGATGTTATTTTAGGTTCTTCAGTCAGTGTGGGATCAATTATTAAACTTCGACTCCGTACGGGATATGTTTACGAATAACGAGTTCATCGAGGTACTAAAGAACCATCTAACGGTTATCCCGCGGTCTGAGTAATAGTTTGTAGGACTAGTGTTGAATGTTCATTTTTTCGTCATTTATCTCTTGATGCTAATCCAAGTTTGCTAAACTCATTTCCTCACGCGTGATCAGATCTCATTTTATTTTTATGTGTTAACCTAAGTCTTTCACAAGATGTTGTTATTCTTAGTCTTTAGTACTGTGCAGCCACTTGAGTATTAAAAGAAATTGCTTTTTCAATTTCTATTATATATTCTGTTGCTCGCCTACGTCTTCCTTTCAAGAAGAAAAAAATTGAAGTACTTTCTTCTGAAAAATTACTTTGAATTTCCACGTTATGTATTTCGGTTTTTTGTTGTTCCTAGAATTTTTAGTAGTTCTGTTAATAAATATGGACTTAAGCCAAGTAGCTTTTTGACAAAACTCGATCTAGGGATTTTCTTCGAATTGAAGATATGGAGTTTGGGAGCACAAAAATATCAAAGCTTTTGAGCACTTAGCTCTAAATTTGATTGTCTGGAGCAGAAGGCGGCCAAGGTAGTGACATAAGGATTACGGGTATAGGACTATATGTCGCCGAATGTGGGAGGGTTACGCGCGGATTTCTTGAAAAAACACCTCGTGCATGTGCAAGGGTGCGTATTTGTTGCAAATGACGGCGGGGGCCACCTCCTTTCGGCGACTTATAGTTCTTTATCCAAAAAGTACGACCAAGGGAATTCAGCATATGAACGCCAAACAACTGACAAACATGAAACATTCGCGCTTTAAGTTGCTCAGGAGCGCGCTTTGCGACTTGAGCAGGATTGTGCCAATTGAGATTTTCTGGGGATGTGAAAGGCGTAGAGGAAGGATTACGAAATCGTTTTGTGCTAATACGGCAATGGAGTATCGATGATTGGTGAGTAAAGGTTTGAAGACAGCTCAACTGGACGTTGGAGGTTTGGCGACAGATTGGACAACCTCAGTATAATCAATGCCTACATACATTTCTTTGGGTAACAACAATTTGGCGATGCTTATAATCATCCTCATCACACTCGATGGACGAGGACAAGTCGTTTGCGGTAGAGCAAGGCAACAGATCTAACTCAGAAGTCGAAGGGATGCCTCCGAAGGGCAAGTGGCGGGGGTCTGCCACTTCGTGCTCCGGAGCCCTCCCATTTCACCCATTTTGGTGCTTCGGGGCTCCTCCGAATCTGGCGCACCCCCGGAGCACCAAAATGGGTGAAATGGGAGGGCTCCGGAGCATGAGTGGCAATATCCCCGCTGGGCACAGCCCGGGACCCTCCCATTTTCGCTCCGGAGGTATTCCTTCGACCGTCTGAGAAGGTAAAATAAGCTGAGGCTGGATGCTGTGCTCTCTCGCAGTATTCCTTCATCAAATTTAAAATTATCCACTAAAGGCTACCAATTTGTGCGGCTGTGACCTGGTACAAGAAGGGATCTCTGTACAGTATGGGCGCTCTTGAGCGCTTTTAGGCGGTTTTTAGCGAAGTCTGGTCGGGGCCTTTGGAGCCCGAAGACGTACAGACCCTCTCGTATTTGAACATACAATTTGTATCAAACACATGCGCTCACTTATCCGTTGCAAGCATCCGCAGCGCCTGAACATTGCGCAGCGATCTGCGATCGATGCAGCAAATTTGAACGTTCAAACTGTATGCCCGCGAACGCGCACGGGACTCTAGCATTGCGCTTGGGCTGATCGGAAAGGGAGCATATCATTGACACAGACTGTACTCCACTAGCAATGTTTTTGGAGTTTTCTGTCTACTTGAATACCAATATCACAAATTAAAATAAATCGTGATTTTGGTGTCTGAGCTAGCATTCACTTCCATCAACCATTTCGACGAACAACAAAAATTTTCCAATACATTTTGGTGGCTATGCAAAATCCAAAATTTTTAGTTGCACCGTCGAAACAGATCTGTAGAAGGCGTTGAACTAAATGCGTAAACGCCGACGTCGACTACGAAGCAATTTTTGTTAAAGTTTGATCGGTGATGATCATTCTCAAAACCATGTGCTTTCCCCATGATGTCATACTCTTTTCGGTGTTTCGTTATGTTCTGTTTTTATTCATCAAAAATTTCAAAATCTGATTAACAGCAAAGTTTATAAGAAAATATACACAATTTTCATGGAAGGCACTTGAAAATAACAAAATCAGCATGCGTAGAGCCTCTGAGATGGATATGGAAAACAATAAATTCATGACGAGAAGTGGAGAGATCTTGTTGTTGAGCAATCTGCTGGAATGAGGTAAACATAAGTTAGAGCAGTGGCTCAGATCGTCGTGACATTAAGGTAGAAACCCCAGTAGATAATATGGAAGACGATGAAAAACGATGGAAAGGCAATGCGAGAGATGAGGTCCACCTGGAATTGGCCGAATTTTTTTCGCAGGTAAGACAACAGAAAGATAGATATGATGTGTAGGCAATTCGTTGCACGCAGAGATTGGATGCCGTTACGTCCGGTTAAGATACTACGTATTAGAGAGAGACTGTGCTTGATTTGAGAGACGCAGACAAGGTCCGCAGTGGCGACTTGTCTCTGCGGGCCATAAATTGCCTTTGTACGGTGTGAAAACGTACTTGTGATGGGCGAATCCTTGTCCATGCAGGCGGTTTTGGCTTGAAAGGAATAGGAGGCATGGGGACCATGGAGAGCAGAGGGATACGTTGGTCCAGCTGGGCTTCGACTTCTATCTGTAGCGTAAGAAATTGACAAAATTTTATGATTCTGCGGAATTGCAGATTGAGCCTCATAGAACCCACTTCCTCAGAAAAAACCCTTTTATTGGAGATTTCTCATCATTTTTTCTACCAGCACTTGAAGAAAGATCTTCTTACATAACTCCTGCACTTCCCCACACTCAGACCCCTTTCCAAATACAATATTTGGAAGCGATGGGCAAAAGTTTAAGCGCCATCCAGCTGCTTAAATTTATGATCATTTGGGAGTTGGTTTCTTCTCGCAGGACTGTTAAAATGGCGTTAGATAGTTGGATTAGAGCAGCGTCTTAGCCACTGCTCAGATCAAACAAGCATTTACTGCTTCAACTTTTGAAGCATTTTAGAGATGGGAAAAATTGCTAGAAAATAGAATAATGACTCACCTTTACGCTATTCCTCCTGTTGTTGTTGTTCTTGAACTTCTTTCTTGAACTGTCTCTTCTCAATACACCATCACCAGTCTCATAGTACTGGACGGGAGAGGCATTCATTAGTGAGCGATTTCGTTTCATCAGATAACCAATGGCCGCATATTCCAGAAGTGAAGCAAAAACTGAAAAGAATATATCCAAAAATATGCAGTATACCCTTTATATAAATTTTTGAAGAGATTTCCAGAAACGACAAGACAGTCTAGTCTTCAATAGATAAACATACTCACCAATAAAGAAACACATTCCGAGAAAGATATCCAAGCTTTTGACGTAGCTGACCTGTAAAAAATATCGTAAAATTAAATTCCAAAAAATTACTTCCCCCGTGTTAAATTTTTTGACATTTTGGGTAGACAGCTTGTAATGGGTTCATGTCTAGAACAAGCTATTTTTGCCGTCTAGCTCGTAATGGGGTATCAACTTGCATAGGGCTAAAAAGGGCAGTGCAGGCGAAAAGTGCAGTCTGTCCTGATGCCCCTAGGGAAGAATTAAGGGCCCATATTGATGCAGCAAGATCCTTCGTAATGATTCATAAGTGATGCTCTAGACAAAATTTGCACTTTGTTTGGCTTACATATTGTGAAACATGGAGAATGACGAGAAAGACGTCATTTGAAAGTTTATAACAAAAAGGCATCACCTTTTCGCCTACGCATTCCTTGGCTGAGGAAAGTATTTTTCAACTACTCAAACAATATTTATAGAAGATTGTATTTGAAGAGCTCAAAGTTATAGAAGTGTTCAAAAAAAAACAAACAAACCAGAAGTCCTCTATTTAAGGAAAGCGATAAGAGATTTCCAAACAAAATTACCTTTGGGAGACTTGCATTTGTGCTGGTCATCAATGTTGTCATTGTCAAGACTGTGGTGACACCTGGAAATGAGAATATTGAAATACACATGAAAATGAGTTTGTGACTTTTATAAATAGACTAGCTGGCTTACCCGGCTCCGCCGTATCCGGACCAAACTTGGCACACATACACTTCGGGCCCCGGCGCGTGTCACAGTCCACTTTTCGTTATCGATCGATGTCGATTTTACCGATTTTTATCGATTTTTTCGCAGAGTTCACCTACAGGGTTAGGAGTTGGCACAGGGGGGGAAGTGAGCATGAGGATTCCGAATACAATATTAGTTTTCAGAATTATCGGTTACTTTTATTGATTTTATCGATTTTTTGTAAATTTTGACATGCGAGGCTGGGATTTTGCACAGGGGGGTAATCGAGCATGCTGATTACGAACACAATATTAGTTTTCAGGATCGTCCATTACTTTTATCGATTTTACCGATTTTTTTGTAAAGTTTGACCTGCGGGGCTGGGAGTTTGCACAGGGGGGTAATCGAGCATGCAGATTACGAATACAATATTAGTTTTTGGAATTATCCATTACTTCTATCGATTTTATCGATTTTGCAAAATTTGAGCTAGGGGGCTGGAATTTGGCACAGGGGGTAATCGAGCATGCTGATCACCCCCTTGGGGATGATCAGCATGCTCGATTACCCCCCTGTGCCAACTCCCAGCCCCCTAGCTCAAACTTTGCAAAAAATCGATAAAATCGATAAAAGTAATCGATAATCCCGAAAACCAATATTGTATTTGGAATCCCCATGCTCGATTACCCCACTGTGCCAACTCCCAGCCCCGTAGCTCAAACTTTGCAAAAAAATCGATAAAAATCGATAAAATCGATATCGATCGATGACGAAAAGTAGCCTATGACACCCGCCGGGGCCCGTAGTGTATGTGTGCCAAGTTTGGTCCGGATCGGTTCAGAAATGGAATTTTCTATTCGGAACATACGTATCGTTTATTCGTTGACCGTAACGACTGCTGACCGCGCGGCGACCGCTGCGCGTGCATGATGTTTTCGTAGAAAAGATGAATAGAAAGAAAACAGAGGATTCTTCTCATCTTTATAATGTAGAAAAGAAACAAAGAATTCTTCTCATCTTAAGCCAGGGTCCAACTTGTCACTTTTTCGCAAGTTTAGAAGGCACGCGTCGCAGTCGCCACGCGGTCGGCAGTCCGTACGGTCAACGAATGAACGATACATACATACATACATACATACAGACAGACATACAAACAGACATTCAGCTTTAGCAAATCAGGGTGATAACTCGAAAAAGACATCTTTTCTCATGCTTAATCCAATTCAGAAAGAAAATTATTTAGATGATGATTATCTAGACCAAAAAATCCGGAGCAGTGACTTATAAGTCCGCTAAATTCACATATTTTCTCATCATAAAACTTCGCCATATCGAGTAGTGAATTTCCGAAAGCCCCTAGAATTTTTGCTTATTACTGCAAGCATTTATCTTACTCATGAGAATAAGGTTGCACGAAACAAACGTCACGTCACATGTTATTACTATGAGACGAAACCAAGTTATTAGGTTAGTGCTTATGCACTACTACGTCAAGAAACCAAATTATGGATGCGCATGAAAACTTTATGAGCCAGATACTATATGGCTTATACCTATATTGCTTATGAGACTCGCGGAAATACATACGCGCATGCGCACTGAATAAGTTCGGACTTGTTTTTTTCTCAATCTTGCACTTAGTATATATATCCAAAGTTAGGCAAATCACGAGACATTACCCGTTAGCGTGCGTGCTCGTAGCTTACTGAGTCTCATAAAGCGTATGAAGAACTATTAATGGATTTTGCGCTCAACTCAAAGTTGGCGTAAAAAAAAACTCTCGTAAAGGTATATTGCACAACTCTTTTTGTAAGCGACTTTTTTGTCTTACGAACATGAAGCCATGAGATGAAAGAACGAGTTACTACTTCGAAGCAAGCATTAAAGCAGCAAATGCATAAGAGACTAAGAAAAAGGATATACGCACATTTTTTGCGCTTCTCTCCTAAGAATAAGTCTAGAAATTATCGGAAAAGATCATTATGAGTTGTAGGATTATGCAAATGACATTTGCAAATTCGAATAACTGAAATAACCACATGCAGCCACGTGCATAAGTTGTTTCTCAAAAATTAATATAGGTAGGAATCAGTGGCGTACCCAGGATTTCGTCTCGGGGCCCCCGGAAAAATTTTTTTTACAGGCTAATTTCAATTTTCAAAATTTTTTAAAAATTATTTTTAATATTTACGAGTAAAAACAAGTCCTCTGCACATTTTTTCACACATATAAGTAACTTTCAAAAATTTCGCGACCCATTCTCGGGAAAGGCGCCCCCCCCTCGGTACGCCACTGGTAGAAATGTTTTTTTTTGGAGGAGAATTGGACTGACTAACTCTTTTTTCTCAAAATCCAAGACTGCAAGCTTGCCAAAAATACAGGAGCCATCACAAGTACATTTGATTAAAAATTCTGCTCCCTCGCCCCCCCCCCCCCCCCCGCTCCCTCCCTCGGAGATAATCCTAGCTTCGCTAATAGAGCGTAAGAAAAGTTGCTTTTTGTAAAAAGCAACTTTCCCTACGCTCCATTAGCGACTTACTTTCCTTTTTCTTTTTCAGAAAAAATCAGCCGAAATCGTTCCAATCATTCACGAAATTAACTTCATCTCAGATCCCGAACACGTCATTTTGAGCAGTATATTTTTACATTTCTATGCCGAAAAACAAAGGAATGATGAAGATTTGTGCAACACAAAAAAATGCAGACATGTAGCGTTTGAAAAAAAAAACTTTATGTAGCTTGGAATACTTTTGAATTTCTTCAGCAAAACTAACCAATGGCAACTCTCGCTTGTACAGCTTCACGGTTGAGCCAAAACGAAACCCATGAGATGACGACAATGAGCGACGATGGGAAGTAGATTTGGATGAGGTAGAAGCCGAGGTTACGCTTGAACGTAAAATAGGCACTTAGACGGGAGTAATTACCTAAAATAATAATTTTTCAATAATTTTTTCCAATACAATCTTCACACTGTTGTCATATTGAAACCTAGGTACCTCTTGATTCAACTAGCTTGGAGGCTGGAAGGCGGGGCTTCGTGACCTAATTAAGGCTAGATAATGATCAGAGAGCGCGCGCGAGAGAGAGACGCAGACTACGTCGCGGACGCGAGCGGCCTTAATTGGCTCACAGAGCCTCGCCCAGCCGCTAAACAAGTTGAATCAAAGGTTAATACTTAGACTGAATATCCCAAAATTGCATTAAAAAGCTGAGAATTTTTTTTTGCGCTGCTAAATATGGATATAGACTATGTAAATACGCTCAAATTGCACATAAGCAAAAAACGTTTGTTTTTATGTGTTCATTTTTTCCCTATTTATACACTGAAATAACATACGGAGAGAATTGCAAAAAAAAAAAACAACTACATGAAACCAGATATATCCTTTGCAACTCTCTCTTCTTACCTTCCTCTCGTTATTTTTAACTCACCCGTACTCAACGATATAACCCGTTCGATATGGTAATGGTCCCCAATAGAGAAATGTGCCAGATGAACATTTTCGTCGATAGTGACAGCGTTAGGACCATGCCAATGATAAATGATGTCTCTCGTCGAATAGCCATAACTCTTAAGATGCATGTTTGAGATTTTTAGTGGATCAAAGAAGAGAAAAGGAGAGCCTGTTTTCGCTCTCCTGGAAGCTCCAGAAATATTAAGGTGGGTTTGGAATTATAAGTGGGAAGATTCAGGAGAAAGAAAAGGAAAAGGATTTAGATGGCTGCATTTCTAAACATTACGAGGAACGAAATAAAAGTTGGATGACCTCACCTCTATTTCCAAAGCGCATTCCTGCACGTCGAGCGGAAACTGCAAAAAATAAAAATTATTGTTGTTAATGACGTAAAATAATTATAATCAGCTGCTCATCATCTACAAATCAGACCTCGTCCATCCGTAATTGCAGAACAAGCTGTACACTCACAATCAGTATGTTATTTTGAGTCACTCCTGGTTACAATAAGGATGCCTAACGCAATCCAAAAAAAGTGCCAGTGATATTTCTCTCATGAATGTCTCCCTCAAGGCCGCTTTCTGCCGCTCAAATTATGGTTGCTGAGCATGTCTTCCCCCAGTAAACAAAGCAATTTCCTCCACTCTTCTTTTATCCGAGATTTATAGCAATCAAAACGTCTTCAAGTGCAAATATCGAAAGACGGCGGGATATGCATCATTGTTCACAAATCCAATTTCGAAGGATAGCAAGAAGTTCAGAAAAATTCTACCATTTACATCAATAGCTGAATTCTTGAGAACAAGTGTAAGAAATCTGTCGAAGAAATGTTAGTCTGGACCATTAATCTTATACAAGGCTCGGCACAGCTGGCACCGGGTCAAGCTGATCGTTTTCGGGACAAAAAAAGGGGACATCGTTTTTCTGGCCCGAAAAGATACAAAAATTGGAGTTTTTTAGTTGACATTTCGTTTTCTTACGGTTTAGGGTCAAACAAGACTTGCACGAAATTTTAAAGATCAAAGAGGACTTCGTTTTAAAATTTTCCTGGTACCAGCTCGTGCCAAGCTAGTCTTACACAATTATGAAGAACTCGTTTGACGATTGAAAAAGCTTCAAATTATGAACTCGTTTGACAATTAAAAAAGCTTTATTCTATAATTTATACATTTCGTATAATATAATGAATACTTTATTTTAGTATACATGATATAACTTTACTAACAGTAGAATCAATGCCAATAGAAAATGAAAAAAATTCAATTATTTGAAGGAAAAGTCTCCTTATCTGGAAAAAAGCTAGGTTTCAAATCCAGCATTAAAATTAGAATTGAATTTCATTGAACTTTAATATTTTTTGTGAACAAATTTCGATTTCGTTGTTTTCTTGCTCAGTTCGTAATTTTAACAAAGAAAAAAAATGAAATTGCGTGATTCTTAAACAGCAAAAAGTTTGAGCTCTTTTCAGTAAAGATTGATTTCAAACAAATCCTTGAAATAAAGAAAAATAACGATTTCTCAGATTTTGGTGGGAGAAAGCCATTAGAAATCTCAGACCCCTTTGAAATATGTTGAATCAAGAGAATTTCTAATAAAACAAAGAAATACCCGACTCTTTACAGCATTTTAATGCAAGGCTTATAAATCAATACATATTTTCAAATTCCGAACAGAATCACTTACCGTGTGCAGATTCATGGGGCAATTTGCGGTTACGGTAAGACGTATACTCCGCAGGACATTTCCATGATTATCTATTCGAAGGAAAGAGTTATGTGAAGTGGCTTCATGAAAGAACGATTTCTTTTCGTTTGGAAAGAATGTATCCGGCGTCCAGATCGTCTTCACCATATCGATTCCTAAATATTTAACATTTTGTTTTCTCGCTAATTTTCGCATATAACATGACTCCCTTGGCCTCTTCGCTGAATTCCCCCCCCCCCCCCAGTACAAGGAAATAAAATATTGCTCTTCGCAGGGCTTGTAAGTTCAAGAGCCCATTGCACCCTGAGCACGCAGATGACAAATGAATTAGTACTTCACCATGTGAATGGCATCATCCCCATAATGGTAAAGCCTTTGATCCTTATGTCTTTTCAATAAAAGGACACTGCGAGCAAGAAAACTTTACAAAAACCCAAAAATAACAATCATTATGGTGGAGAGCTAAGAATGCTCTGAAAAGTCTTTGTTGAAAATCAATTCAAAAAGTGAATTTTAAGGAAAAAAGAAAATTCGGCAAAAAGCGAGCACGAGTGAGAGCAAGAAAAGTTTCTTAGAGTATAAAAGGTCCCACTACCACTTTTCCGAATTATGGAAAAAAATTTCAAAGTAAAAAAAACGATACGCTATATGACCGCTTTTCAAGTTAACCTCAGCATGGAAAGCCTAAGTAAAAAATCATGGACAATAGAAAAAATGGAACTAGTGGAAAATGACTATATTATTCTATTCTTCGAATTAAGCGGATTCTCCTTTCCATTTCCTTTTTTTTGCTCTGAATAAGTCTATAATCGTGATTTTGTCAAAAATGATGTAATTTCACCAAAATGCAAAGCATTTTATCAATGAATGAAGGAACCTTTCAAAACTCCAGCGTTCTCTAAACTCTCTCCCTCAGCCAATCTTCCGATTTCCTCCCGCATATTTTCTGTACAATTTGTACTATGAAAGAATGTTAAAAGCTAATTTTTCGTTGATATTTACGTAATTTTGCCAACCCCGAAAGAAACTGAACAAAGTGACTCATTCAGAGCTAAGCAATCCCTAAAGAGTATTAGCTTCACTGTTCTCTACTCTCATCATTTATTCTAAGCGCAAATTGGATTGAAGCAGCTCATTGACCTAATTGCTAACAGCAAGAGGTATTTATAAAATCAAACTCAAACGTGAAAACGAGAACATCAAAAACAATTAAGAAAATTTGCACATGGCAAAACGCCCTCCCCCCCCCCTTTCTAGGATTTTGGATCATTGTTGCCATGAGGGTAAGAACTTTTTTAAGTATTTTCAACAGGCATTGGAAACTGAGAACGGCACTAGATACTCTCTTATATTAGATTTAATCGTAGAGAGCGTGGAATTTGAAAAAAAACGATGGTTTTTTTAATGAAGAACATTACGAAAGTAAAATTGAAATAAAAGAAAATTTAGAAAAATGAGCTCAGATTCAAAGCAGCGAGCCGTTGAGTTGAGTTTTACAACTATGCGATTTCATTCAAAAATTATTCATTAAAATATTTTGTTGCATACATTCGCAGAAGTCCAAATTTAATACTTAGGCTCTAAATGTACAGTTTATCTATGATTTATGAATTATGTCAGATAATTTATTTTATTGCAGTCAGATCCCGAAACAAACTCGACAAAGCGACTCTGTACTAGACAATCCCTAGAATAGTTGTTGCTAAGTTGTTTCCTGACTCATCACTTATTCTAAGCGTACGGTGATGATTTGTTGCTAATCAACTCAATTGTTGACAGTGAGAACTCATTATAAAATCAAGCATTTCAGGCCGGAAACGAGGCAAGCAGCATATACGTTGTACGAACTTGGGCTAAAAATAGATGAGGCAAAAATGGGATTACAGGGCTTGAAATTTCTTTGAATCGCAGTGTTGAGGAAGTGAGCACCTCTTTTGAGAAAAAAAGCGGAACTGGAGCAGGTAATTTGCTACTATTGGATAGTCAAGAGCATTTCATTCTGTAAAATGTAAAGTTCACAGAAATTTATTCAAGGTGCAAAGTACTTTCTATATCAACTAAACATTGTTTCCTACGGCTTTGGGACTTGATTAGAATTAGCTGTAGACCGCTTCTTCACATAGAAAACTATCCTGCCCCACCCCCCCCCCCCCCAAAAAAAAAAAAACTCTAAGATCTCCATTGATTTGTACTCAACTACATATAAATCGCACAACAGTTCCATCCTCTTTGCTCTCCGCTTTCCCTTCCTGCTCTCTCCCCCCAACTCTCTTATCCCCTTATGTTTGTTCATCTCCCTCTCAAAGCGATCCTCCTCCAAAGTTCAGCCATGTGCTCCATGATGAATAGTGAACCCCAAACAGCATGAGTGTTTACGCCGAACTCGCTCATCATTCATAAATGACAATTTTTTTGTGGATGAGCAGAGTTGAAGCATAATTTCTCGAAATCAACAAAACTGGCTAATTAATGTAATTAGCGAGTATGAATAGGAGCGCGCTGCGGGCCGCACACAACCCGAAGCGCGCTCTAATGAGAGCATAAACCGTCACAGCTGCGTGCTGCCACCGCTCACCTATGGTCAGCGACGACTGCTCGTCGCTCTCCCAAGCTAATCGTGGATCTTTCCAGATTTGTCGTAGATACAAATCTAGCGTGTAGTCCTGAAAGTATAAGAGTCACCATTTCCCAGGTAAAAAAAAATTTGAAATTGCAAAAAATCCAAAATTATTGCAAAAAATTCATTCATTGACTTAGCCAAAAAATATCTTAGCCCTAAAAACAAGGCATTGCTTTTTCCCGCGCGAATCATAGTCTACGTGCAAGATGCAGACAATGCACAAGTTGCGGTCACTGCGGCAGGGTTTTGTCTGCGTATCTCCATTTCGCCTACTCTCTCTGCGAGGAGCGTCGACTGTTTGCACGCGTCATAGCGATGGAACCTGTGCACAGTCTACATCGGTGAATGTACCCGTGAAGTTTCAAAAGTGGATCTTTTTATTCTAACTCCCCCCCCCCCTCATGGCGGAAATACATCTGAAAAAAAGTTTTTGCGGGTCTCCCCAAATGTTAATTTGAAAATCTGATTTTTGCAAGCTTGATTTAGTAGTTTTTTTAAGAAAAAAGCAAACTCACCATAGACACTTCTGTAATTGCACTTATGGTTGTGATATGTGCAGTAATATTCACTTCGATTGGTGGACCTGTAAAACGAACAAATTTTCAGAGTCTTTTTCTGAAATTCAACCCCTATCAACCCCCAAAAAATGTTCAGGAGTAAAATGAGCACTTTGATTCTACGCATCGCGTGCGTTGCTAGGATTTTATTTCATGATTAGTTTATGAGGCATCTACTCAATGTTTATGTTGCCCACGTAAGAGGACATTCCGAATTTTGATTTCTTTTCATATGTGAATAGTCTCTGAGAGTACCTGTATTACACAAGGGAAACAGAGGTAAAAATTAGCAACTATTATACTTTATCATTACTCCTTCCTAAAGGATCGCGATCTGTCACAAAGATGACTTTTTTTGATCATAAAGTAACCATAAAAGGTTTTTTCCAAACTTTTATCAAAAGCAATTTTTCAACGCTTAACTTGATTGCATTTGCTTCAAAAACATTCACTGTTCCCTTTTTGCCGAATGAAAAAAAGCCAAGCGCAACTACGGAGAGAAAGTTCATTGTGTGAAAAAAAAAACATCTGAGAAAAAATCGAATACATAACTAATGCATCATTTAGCAGATGATTAGGAGATCTAAAAATGAATATGATTTGTGCACTATTTAAGCAAAAAGCAATATTAACAAAAAATGCTTGATCAAGACTAATAGCCACGTGTTTCCACGAGCTATCTAAATAATAGTGGATGAATAAAAAATAAATAGATATGCTAAACTTTCCTCCCTATTCTGTTTGCCTCATACCTATTCCGCAATTTGATAAAAACCGGATTTACGGAATTTATAGATTTTTTCGGAACTAAATTACCCCCCCCCCCCCTCCCCCTCCCCCACCTTGTTCTTGGATCTAGACACACTCAAAAACCGAGTTGTTCGAACGCTTCTTTTTTCGTCACAAGCACGATGTAAGTAAATCGAATTGAATACACTTAGGTTGGTAGTCGGCAAGGTCTGAGGCAATCTCGGGCAGAGAGAAGAAGCAGTAATTGCTAGCGATCATGTGCTTTCTGTGGTCACACAAAGATGATCAAGAATTACGAGATGAAGAAAAAAAAATCACCGTTTCAGTGATAATCATAACTTATTGTGCTAGAAAGTTGGAGATATTTTCATACAGTTAGGAGACCAAAGATCAAAAGTAAATATGTGAGCTTCTGAGCTAATTATAAATACGTACTGAAAAATTGAGGCAAAGAACGAGAAAGTCAAAATCAAGATGAAATGCGTAAATTATACCGAAATGCTGGTGCAACAAACAAACATTGCAATTGTTTTACGCATAGATAAAGGTCAAGAAAACCAAATTTTGTTGACCTACCTCCATAATTTGGCCGAATCCGTCGATCATGACTGGCTACGAGTTTATCGAGCAGTTTGCTAACGTTGTTCTCCAATTTTTCATTCGGACGAGATTGCCCGCTAAAAAATCAAATAAACTTCTACACCAGAGTTTGCCACAAAAAATGAATGGAACTTGAGTGGAATACTTAGCTGTAAAAATTTTTTTTCCAAAAAATTAAAACCCTGTCTGAAAGCCCATCCTCCACCCTCAGGTATAGGGTTCCCTGCATGATCACGAAAGTCAGTGAGTTTGCGGCCCTTGCGCACGCGGGATGCCACAAGGCCTTCACCAATCAAACAACCCTGTACTTTTCAAAATCGCCTCGAGTAATTGGGAGCTAAATCTGATGGCGGAAAAGCGTTTTTAAGGAGGAAAGATTGAGAAAGCTCGATGCGCGAGCACTGGTCGTAACCTCACCAATTCCCACGATCACGCAGAATCCTATAAATAAGCTAATTTCTTCCTAAGAGACAACCGATCAGAGCTAAATAGTTACCCAATTTACCACGGGATTACCATATAGCATCATGCATCATCTGCCGTCAGTTCGCGTTCGCGATCCCATCGCATTTGCGTAAGCAAACTGGTTGTTTTTGTGCAATCACACCAATCATTTTTCCCATAGCTTTAATTGCTTCTGACAATGGGGAGGAAAACAAATTGCTAAATATTTTTCTCCGAAAATCAAAATTCTAAACTTTCTCGCCAAAAACCAAAAATCGCACCACGGATTCATCCTTTTCTCTACATTTTCCTTCTTTTTAAGCCATCGTCAGCCCACCCTATGGGAACGGCTAATTTGTCAGCTGACGTGGTTCTCCTCCCCCAGCAGAGAAAATGTGAAATCATTAATCATGTGGGACAAATCCATAAAGGATGAACGCCCTGAACTTATATTAGGGATCATGAAAAAATTTGAGAGATGGGTGTAATCACGTCATAAGCGAAAGTGGGCTTGTCTACAAGCAAAAAAAATTTAATGCTTTTAGAAGAAATTTGGTTAGTGGCATATCTGCCAATCTGTTCGATGGAGATTTATGCCCTACTCTCTTTTCCCAGCCAAGTTATCGACACAGTCGAGTTATCGTAACGATCTGTGTATTGCACCCCCTGTGCGCCATCTCACGGCATCTGTTTTTGCAGCTTTTTTAAATCAAGATCTCCTTTTCTATTTTTATTCTTTCTAAAAAAACCGAAAGTGCTGCGGCATGTAGGCGTTCTATGCGAGATCTGTTTGCATTCTTTAAAATTACTAGTTAGTAGGGCGGGGCCCACCCACACGACCCCATAGGAGCCCCCGGAAGTTTTAAAAATTCAGTTTTCTTCGGAAGTATTTTGCGATTGTCTGAGGGGCGGATATTTGCAACAAGATGCACCTCTTGCATGTATAATGAGTGCATAATTGTTGCAGATGTCCGCGCGGGCCTTGCCGCTCGGCGACATATAGTCCTCTAACTCCATACCAAGTTTCTAGATAATTGTTTACGCAAACTCTGCATTTGCAGACATGCACCATATTCTGCAATGGCACAAAAAGTGCTCCAATATGCTTATATGAACAGCCGCGTTTCTCAATAGTCTCTTATAAAACCGCCACTGTTTATTCGGAAGAAACAAGATTGTTTACGAAGCAAAGCAAATTGCACTGTGGCTTCATAATCCCAAACAAATTGCCTCACTCACAAAGCCCTTGCGGTCATGCTTGGCCTATCGGGCTGGTTTTTCCGAGCTACAAGAAAAGATTTACGACTTTAAAAGCTCAGTGACAAGGATGTCTTTGCATCCTAGTGATTGTGAATCGCAGTGAAAGATAAATGGTCCCCACCAACAGCGACATGCCAGATTGTCACAAATTCCCCCTTAAAATATGCCATACATCAAAATGGAGGAGTAACATTGTCTTTCAGAACACTGCGAGCAATAAATTACATTTTATTGCGGTATTTTTTGACATTTTCTGTCTGCTGGTCGAATGTTAATGTTAAACTATAAACTCAAAGCTTTGCAAGGTGTCCAAATAACAAAAAACGCTTATAAGGATTCCTTTAACTCATGATGGCTACAAAATTAATAAAAACTATGCAAAGACGCATATGCTGGCAGGGATTCAGAATCAACCGCCCGCACGTATGTGTGCAGCCGACACGCGCGCGCGTCATTGGCGTTTCATAGACTATAAACGACCCCATTACAGCCTTTTTTCCAATGTGGAGGAGTGCTGATTTACGTATTTGAAAATCATCGAGAAAAATGATATGACAGTCATGCCTGACTAATTTTTGAAAGTCATGCACGAAAAGGAAGAAATCTAGTTTAGAATATATTTTAGCTTTAATTTTTTATAGCGTGTTCTCCCTTCCGCCCCTATTCTATTCTGCTCCCTTTGCATAAGCGATGTCAATTTTCCAAAATGGATATGATCCGTATACAAACAAACCTTTCAAAATCTTTTTAGTACCCCCCCCCCACTCTTCCTCCCTCACCTGGTCTTCCGATCTTTCGATCGATATTTTTGTGCTCAGATTTCGCTATGGCATGTAAATAACACCATATGGAAAGACAAATGTTCGCCGCGGAGCATCTAGCCTAATTATACGTTTAGCGGACAATTATCAACACTTTCGAGACTAGATCAACGATCAAAGCTTAGTGCATAGCAACTCGAACATGCTTGGATTTCCATGAAAGCACAAAGTTTGATTTTGACGTGTTTGTCATTGCTATTATGAAATCAGTGAAGCACAAAATCCTCCTATCAAAGAATATTTATGAAGATACGCATGCTAACAAATTATGATGTGGGAGAAAATGCTTTTAGTTCTTCTTGTTTTCACATCAACCGGTTTCGGGGCTAAGAACTTTATCGGTAGCGTAGCTTCCCTGGTTCCCCTCATTAGTAGTTTGGAAACTTCAAAAGTTTCTAGTTCTTGAAGAGGTGTTAAATGCTAAATCATAATGTAATGAGGATTATGATCACCGTGAAGAAAAGAGAATATGACAAAATTTTTGGGGAACAAAGCAATTCATAATGAATGATAATCATGAACCTTCACCTCAAAAAGAAACTACAAGGGAACATCCAAATTCCTTTTTCGTAAAAAATAACTCAAAGGCTTAAAGATGAAGGGAAAACTCATTTTCCACTGATTCTCCAATGAATCATTTTTAAACGATGTTTCAAAGTCTTGGGCAAGAGAAAGCAAAACAATTTTGAAATCGCATGGATCCCGCTAAATTCGCTTCTCATGCCATGTATCTCCACATTTTTCAATTCAAAAAAAATTATTTTGGGATTCATAACTAGTACATGTTAAGAAAAACATTATTTTCGTTTTTAGAGTTTTTTTTAACATCAGGAAAGCGGACTGTGTAAAGATTACTTATAAAAATACTTGCTATATTCGATTTAAATTACTCTAATCATTATAACTTCTTACTGATGATACCAGAGAGATGTGACACCACTCTGAAATCGTCAAACTATGTACTCATAATCTTTAGGAATGAAGGGCTTCCCAGACACTCCGAGTCCTCTTGAAAGGGCAAAACATTGTAGAGTTGATTGATTCTGAATGCTCAGAAAGGCTTCGGAAAGCCCTTGAACTTGCATTAAAAGCCGACCGAGAACTTCATTGAGGTTCATGCAAGGCCATAGAATTAGGTTCATTGTCTGGTGAGCAAAAAAAGACCGGAACTTCTAGACGCAGTTTTTTTCTTCAAAATTTTTCAGAGAGAGACAGAGTGTTAGGAATTCCCCCCCCCCCTCCCCCATATCAACTGCCAAATATTTGCCGCGAATGCCACCAATGTTTTTCTAAGAAAATTCGGCACGGCATCGAATCCGACTTGGCCTCGGATTCGATTAGACGATGCTAATCCCTTTTTTCTGTGTTTTCGGGTCGTCTGCTCATCTCATTTTCTTACGAATGAAACCACGGAGCGCGCTTTTATCGAATTAGACCGCCGTGAGCTCCTTTTCTATAGCACTTCCCCCGATATCGAAAAACAAACAATTCGAAACAGTAGACGAGCTAGGGTGTTATTTGAACTCAACACACAAAGTCAATAACCTTTTTTTGGAATTTATTGGCTTTTCCGTAGCGATTACCTTGTCATGTAGTTTAGAAGAATGGGTACATATTGAGAATAGCGAAGTTTTTTGAGTTTGCAGTTTCCAGGGTTGACTTTTTGCTCTTTTGCATACTGCTGTTGCATAAAAGCTATTATAGAGCAAGTGGGTGTTTGAAAAAATAAAAGCTTCAAATTGCATTAAGGAAAAAAATCTTTAAAGAAATAAAAAATTCTTTTCTCCCACTCGGAAGTAACTAGTAGTGAGATGATCGTCCCTCATCGACCCCCTCACTGATTGAATTTACTACACCACCCTTTTTTCAAAAAGTAGAAAGCTAGACTGGACCTAATTCAATAGTATCGAGGCAAATTCCCGATGGAAAATAAATCCGAAAAATTATGGAAGCACCACGTTTACATGTCCAAACATAATCGATTTTACAAAAAAAGTGTGAAATATGTGAAAGGGAGAGAGACTCAGTATCACTATCAAAAATGAGTCAAGTGTGATACAAAGAGATAAATCTGGAATCAACGATATTGTAAAAGTCATGGACAGCTTTTTTTCTATGAAAAAAGGTGCGCGTGAGTGAAAAATTGGAAAACCATCGCTGTGAAACATAAGATAATTAACTTGTAAGTTTTTCAATTGGAGTAATTTGAAAAGTTTCATTGCACTCTACCTGCCCTCATTTCTTTGGCTCATCAAAGTTCCAAATGACTCAATGTTTTCGCCTCTAAACGAATTTTGCGTTGCGATTGGATTTTTCAGATTAACAAAAAGTGAAGAAATGTGTAAGGATGAGAACATAAAGATAAGATTGGAATTAATTAGCAATGTGGAGACGCAAGGACTGTTTTTGAGAGCCTACATTATGATAGAAGAACGAAAAAAAGCAATCGAATATGAGTCCAAGCAACCTTGAGCTTACAAGATTCTTAAAATTTCAACATATTTTTCTTTTCTTTCTCCCCCACCTGAATCTTCTCAAAGCTTGCTTTACCCATTCCCTTTACCCAACTTCCCATTAATGCAGAGTTGATAGCCATTTCCTATCACCTCTAAGCTGGATAAAACTGGTAGGATGACGTTCGATGGCCCATTCCTGAAATGCTTTCATGGGCCAATAGACCCATGCTGCAGGAAGCAGTGAGCCGTTGCCTATGAAGTGAGTTATTAATCACCCCATGAAGAGGATCGGATCGGACTGCTTCCCAAAGCGAAGAGCTGCCTCACACCAGCTCAAGAGCCAACAGGGGAGAATGGGGCAATACAAAAATAGAAGAAAAGTGTGAATGCTCACCTGTATTGTTCCAGGTAGTTGTACTCAATCTCCTTATCGGACTTCATAGCCTAAACATTACATTTAAGAGAGAAAAAAAAGATTCTCTATTTTCTACACTTCCACAAAGTTGTAAAGACAGAAATGGAAAGTTTCTACAGCAGAAAGCATCTAAAAAG